TAGTCTCTGTGTCCTCTATTCTGTACCGTTGGTCCACCTGCCTGTTTTGGTACCAGTACCATGCTGTTTTTGTTACTATTGCTCTGTAATATAGTTTGAAATCTGGTAGATACCCTCTTCTTAAATGGGATAACATACGGTGCCTAGCACAAGCAGGAGCTATTTGATTTGTTAAGATTAATATTGTTATATTTTTAATCCTCCTTCACTATCTACAAGTTAGCATTGTACTAAGTGCTCTCTGTAGCTCTGGATAGCAGGTAAGTCTCACAGCACCTCGCCAAATGAGTAATGACATTATTCCCATTTCATTGAGGATGACATCGACGCGTGGAAAGTTCAAGTAACTTACTCAAATCACAGCGATACTAAATGGCTGACATGAGATTTTAGTGAATTCTTTTTTTTTTTATTCCAGAGCCTATTCTTTTAATCTCTATGCAAATTTTATATGATAGATTCAAATTTTCCACAAAGAATCCAATGGTTTATATAGAATCCAATGGTTTATATAGAATATATAGAATCCCAGAATCATACATCTCATACATTGTTGTCATACCACCTAGTACAGATCTCATGTCGATCCAAAATTTATCAGAAATATTTAAATTGGAGAGAATTGGGTAAGTATAGTAGGACTCACAACTACCAAGTTATCAAATTCTCCTCATAGTTGTATAAGGGAATATTTTTGCCATATTTCATTCATTGAAGACGTATGTAAGCTGTATCATATTTTACAATAGTAATCTTACAGTCCAACCTAAGTTTTGATCTTATTAGAAAATTTTCTTTGATGTACAATCAATATTAATTTGAACAGTACCTATGAAAGTGTTTTAGGGAGAATGTTCTAAATTTTGATCCTCTCTTTTTCTCTCAGTCTCCATAATAGCACACAGATTTGTTCCAAGAACCGTCCGAGGAACTTCTATGAATTTTTTGACACTGTTCAATGGATTTGGTTGTTTCACAGGGGCACTGCTGGTGGAGTTGGTTTATCTCATCTCAGAAGGTAAAAAATAGGTTTATAGTATGCGTATGTACATTGATTTGATGACTAAGGAACTGGGAGACAAAACCTTAAGAGGGGAGCTTTGCCAGTGTGGTCTTTTTTTAATTGATCCACTTTGCAATTAAGATAGAATTAAGATAGGGAATAGACTCTTGCTGTATTCATTAATTTCTGGGAATTGTTTTTCTTTTGATAGGAGGAGGTAATTACAGAATGTCACTTCCCATGAGACCCTGTCTGCTGTCTTTCTTTAGTGTATTCTAAAACAAACTGGTCATTGTATTCGTATTAGGTCTTTTAATGAGGCCATATTCAACCATGCCTCATAGCTGTCACAGGCAACCCACAGAGAAGTCAGCATCTGTGCACATGTAGGAGGGCAGGGTACTTGGATGATGTTTTCCTCGTGATTAGCTGCAAACTTTGTCTGTGTCACCAAAGAGAAATCATGAGTTAAATAACAAATGATCTTAGAAATTTTTTTTTTAGGTAGATTTTTAGACAGAAACAACCAATCGGAAAAATTCAGATGCAAATATTTGAATTCTACTCTTAATTACACATGTGGGTGAAAAAATAATTCAGACATGATGACAATAATGATTAGTAGTCACAGTGAAATGCCTTTGGCTGTATTTTAAATTCAAAGACTTTTTAAAAAAATGTTTTAAAATGTCACTGTAGCTTGTATTTTATTTTAACTTACTTTTGCTTATTTTATGTAAAATATCACAAACTTATTCTTTTTTACATTCAAAAATACTTCTGGTTGTGCACTTAAAACAATGTAAAGAAAGTGTTGGTTTGTGTTCTCTTAGAACAAACTAATTAAATACACCTGCTTTCAAATTAGGAAAAAAAATAACTTCTGTGCATGAGAATAATGCTAAATCTCCATTCAAAAACTTTTTATCAGGGACTCATTCCTTTCCTGCTACCATATTGGGCATAGGGCATACCCTGGCAAGCAAAATAAAAATTTCTGAACCCATAATATATTCCCAGGAATGAAAGGAAGCAATAGAATTGAGAGTGCTGAATATGGGTAGGTACAGTGCAGTTCAGGGGAGAAACCTAGCAATCTTGATGGATGTCTGAGATCAAACCCCGGCTTTTAATTAATTATCTGAGAAATTTACATATTTAATATTTATTATATGCCAAGCCCTCTGCTACACAGAATGGTGTAATATACGGTTGAAATTTCTCAAAGATCTCTCAAACCCAAACTGTCATAGCTAACTGGAAACGGCAGCAAGCTTCTGGCCTCTGGTGATCAGATCCTTTGTATATGAACAAGGGACAAAGCACAGCATTAAGATTTTGTAAAAATAACCTAGAAAGATCTCACCTATATTCGATATCTAAAACATTTTAGGTGTTGAACATGTTTCCTTTACATAACTCAACAAAGATGTTTTCAAAAATTTTATCTTAAAATATTTTCTATCATCGAATCATGTTTGACATATTCTAAAAGAACGGAAAAGTCAAAAATATTACTACCAGTTTACCTTTATATAAATCTAAGTTTTTCATCTGTATGCCAAAAGCAACTGACTCAGAGTTAGACACTTCATAGGTTAAGTCCTCCCCCAAAACTACCTTCCCTTTAGCCATTAGACATAAATTTGGAAGTCCCCATTGTTAGTGAACCTAAGTTCATTTATTCATCACTCAAAAGTGTCCAATGCATGGAGAACAGATTAATAAAAGGAAAAAGATTTGTTTGTTAAGCCATCAAGACCAAGAATGGAGGACTAGCATTCTGGAAAGACCCTCTTAACCTAACCCTGGTTCCAAGCTCCTTTTATCCCAAGGAGGAAATGATTGAGAAAATTTGATAACCCATAATCTCCCAGTTTGCATCAGTCTTGAAGGTGAAGGAAAAAACTCAGGAGAGTCTGGGGTAAAAAAAAATCTTGTGCTACTAGTTTGAAGGATTGAGAGCTACCTACTCAGGGAGGCACCATCTTTTTCTAGTAAAGGATCACCATAAGCATGGCGACACCAGGGCGGTCATCACTTCTGACCAGCTGGCTGTGCTTGGGGTGCCTCCACCGACCCCCTCCCGTTAGACAGTTTGCTAGAATAATTCAGAGAACTCAGAAAAGCATAATAATTATGATTTAATTTTATTATAGCACAAGAATACAAATTGGAATAAGCCACATGGATAAGCACCCAGTGCAAGGCCTGGGAGGGCTCCAAAGCTTTCATTTTCGTGGATGCAGTACCCTCTTGGCACATCACTTTGTGACAATAAGGAGAATATTGCTAACCAGGACACCCACTGAACTTCAGAGTCCAGCTTTTGTTGAGGTTTTATAGAACAGGCACAACTGATCGAATAATTGGCCACATGGTTGAACTCAATCTCTAGGCTCCTTTCCTTCCCCCAGAAGTTGAGCTGATTATCATTAGGCTCAAAGTCCCAACCCTCTAAAATCACAAGATCAGCCTTTCTGTCTGAACTGCCCCTATTTCAGGTCATCTCATTAGCATAAACTAGAACCAAGGGCTCACTAGCATAAATTAATAGTTGGGGGTCTAAGGGACCTACGATAAATAACAAAGACATTGTAATCCTTCAAGAAACTCAAAAGATCCAGCATTGACCTTCCAGGAACCAGGTCTGGCAAATTCTTACATATAGTTTGTTCTTGCAAAAACATTTCATTGAAAACCTAAATTTTTATTGAGAATCTGCACAGTATGGTAATGCGCTCTTACAGGCATTATTGTGTTTATCACAACAGTTTTATAGAGGTAAGACAGTTATTCTTGTTTTTTCAATATAATAATTAAGGCAGAAAAAAATAATAATAAAAGTGCTCCACTCATCCCAACTAGTATCCGACAAGTGTGACTCCCTCAGCACACCAAAATCAGGCAACTATTAGAGGTCCTCAAGTTAAAACGGCATTTGTTACTTCTACAATATAACCTCCTTGGGTAGACTTATGCACATGACATAGCATTGATAATTATCTAGATATAGCATCAAGTCGGAGAGACAAAAGTTTAAATAACGTTCGCAGAATTCGTTGCCCATGAAAAGAAGATTACCAAGGACACACAGTGAGGACATCTTAGAAAATGGGATGTGGGTCTGGCACCAAGGCACATGCCAGCTGTAATCCCAGCAGCTCAGGAGGCTGAGACAAGAGGATCACAAGTTCAAAGCCAGTCTCAGCAAAAGCAAGGCACTAAGCAACTCAGTGAGACCCTGTCTCTAAATAAAATACAAAATAGGACTGGGGATGTAGCTCAGTGGTTGAGTGCCCCTGAGTTCAATCCCTGATACCTCCCAAAAAAGAATGTGGGACATTTCTAACTTTGTTCTCAAAAGAACACCATTTTGGTTGCTACTAATGGATTTACTTCTTCTTTTACGGTTGTTTTTTTTCTGTTCATAATAAAATTGTGTAACATCAAATCATATCCCAGGAAATTGCAATGTTATAGTTGTTGCCTTACAGATCATCTGGTCTAACACTGTACCAAAAAATAGAAAATGTACTAACATCCTCTTGCATCCATAAAAATTCTTTAAGACATAACATCTGTTTGTCCTTCTATTGATAATATTTATTAGAATAAATCTAATTTTTTTACCACATAGCAACTTTTCAAACATTTGATAACTGTTTTTAGAAATAGCATGGTATAGTGGTTCAAAGAATAGGTTCTGGAGTCAGACCACCTCAATGTCAATAAAGTCTGTTTCCATGTAACCAATGATAATATATAATTCACTTTGTGTTTTCCTAATTCAGTGATTAATGCTCATAGTAACTGCTCAGTCATGATTGAAATCTATTCTACAAAGTCACCCTTATTTTTTCATATTGCATGATTTCCTGATTTTTCAGTCTCAAAGCCCCTCCATCCATTAAACAAACAAGTTGCCTGTATCTTTCTTAGAACATGGTTTCCAAAATCAAACACAATACTCAAGATAGGTACAAACAGGACAGATGTATAACTTTTATCAGCCTGGACACACAGACACACTGTCTCTCAGAATGTCAACAGAGATTGTGTTGATTTTTTCAGTAGTTACATCACACCATCAGGTCAATTAAAATGTGAAATGTTTTATTATTATTATTTTGCAGCTGTTCTGGGTTCAGCTCCACTCATCACAATGTTTTTTTTCTAATTAAATGCAGGACTTTATCTTCTTCCTTAATAAATGTCAACCCATCAACCTAAATAACAGACATTTTGAAACTTGATTCTGTCATTCACTGAATTACTAATCTTCTTTGCTAGCTTTGTGTTATCTGCAAATTTAGTAAGCAAGTCCCTAGACTTCTTCCAGGTAATTGATAAAATTGTTGAATTGGACAGGACTGAAAATAGAACCTTATGGAAAATTCCTACAGACCTCATTGCAAATTAATGGCAATCAATTAATTCCCGTCTTTTGGTTGTAATCAGCTCCCAACTCACCTAATTACTCTCATTCAGCCCACACACTTCTCAATCATTCCCTAAATGACATCACAGGAGACTTTGTCATATATTTTTCTGGGATTGGAATATATCTGTGTTTATGACAGTCCCTTTAGCCATTAAGAAAGGAATAATAATAATCTGATTCTCATGATCCTGTACAGGCTTGTAGTGACTTGTAGTGATCCCTAAAAGAGAGTGACCCTTTGACAATAAATATCACTTTGGGGTAGGTCATTATCTCTCTAAGGTTGTTTCCTCTTAATGAAAAAAAAAAAAGGGACAAGGCTCTTTACTTTTTTTCAGAAGTGATAAAAGAATAACATTAAAGTATTTTAAAACTTCAATGCCAGACTTTTTTAATATAAAATTAAGTCATACATTAGAATGGCCCACTTAGCTTAAAACAGCCTATTCAGTCAAACCACCAGCCCAAATTTTTAAACAGAACTGATCATAATGAAACCAACACTATAAGTCTATATTTAGGCACCCTACCCCCTCAGCATTCCATTTAGCATTTAGGATATTTTCAACCT